TACAATAGGTTTTCACTTTCTAAGGAGCCTGAATGGAACCTTTCTTGAGCAATGGATCGGTAGCACTAAAGAATGCTCAAAATAAACCCTTCCGATTAATACTTTTAATGGCCCACTTAGATCACAACTTTTTGACGAAGGCTTCTGAACATCCCTTGATGGCATTTTTCGGGTGTTTCGCACTTCATTTGTTCTTAGACCTCTCATGATGTGAAATTGGAAGAATTACGTGAGAAAATTATTAACTCAAGCGCGATCGTCATTCAAAGCCGATGGAGGGGCTTTTTGACTCGCAGCAGCTTTGAAAACCTTCGAAAGTACACCATATTCTGTCAAAGAAGATTCCGTCAAACTGCAGCCAGACGCAAGTTCTTGCGAGTATGTGATAAGCGCATTTTTTCAGTCTACCACTTCTGTCATGTACTCTGGTGCTGCTGCTGCTGGAAGAGCCTTTATGGGTGCTGAGCCTTGAGCCCCAACCAATGTTTGGCATACAGTGTGCCATTGCGTGCCTGTTGTTAATTTTTCCTTCTGGCTCATATCTATAACTCTAAATGTAGAATTTTATCACAATAATGAAGGTTTATAATGCTAGTGCTCTTCTCCGTTCAAAGTACGTGTCTTACTTTTGCACAGTTTAATATTTTATGAGTTGTTAATGTTATACCTATGAGATGTGAGGCGGCAGAAGGCTTGTTCATTCAAAATTGGTTTGATGATATTTTCGTTACAGTTTGAATCTGTAAGTTCGATTTTAATGCGTGCTCATGTATGGTGATTGTTTGCAAACACACGAGAACGTCGAATACTTCTTTCTAAACACACTGAGACATTTCGTAGAGATTGCACTTATAAGGAGCACTGATAATTCCGACTTTACCGGCACAGGAAGATTCTCAATTCCGTCCACTCCTCCCCATATTGAGCTGCATGCATGGCTAAGTGCTCCGTAGATAGATAAGATGGTGCTGTTTTCCATTACACAATAAGTCTTCTGCATTTTAGGTAAAACACATCATCATCCGCATGCAAGCGAATGTACGGGCATGGCAGGCCCGAAAGCGCTTCATTGCACAGCAGCACTTCATCGTGCAGCTCCAGTCGTTTGCACGCTACTGGCTCTCAAGACACACTCTTCACCACATGACACGCGGACGTGATTTCTTCTCTGCCGAAACAGCAATTCAATATGTATGTCCCTCTATCCTTCCCATTTCTCTACTAAATCTCATTGACATTAATTTCTTTCCATCAAAAAGTAAGTTTTTGCAATCGTTGGCATTAGTAGCAGCAAATCTAGCTCCACCAACTCTTGCTCTGCGTCGACAATAAAATCGTCGCATTTGTTTCACCCAGCCCAAACCACTTATTTGTCAATTCCCTCATGTTATACCGTTGTTGACACAGGATGGAGACACAAATGTGTACTTCTGCGAATCAGAGGTGCCAGAAGATGTGATGCTGCGGAACCCGTTGCGAGCTAAGTGGACGAGTGCGCCGACTGCAGAAAACCCCATTGAGTTGGTTAGCTTGGCTACTGCTGCCTCAGAAGAGTGCGGTACTCACCAGCTTTCTCCGTTTTTCGATACCGACCATCCTGTGCCTACCAAATTGCCTTGTTCGGAGACCTGCGCCGATCTCTTTAGTTTTGTACGTCGTTAGTGAAAGAGTCTGGTACTCCTTATCGAATTTCGTTTTTGGCCTTTGTAAAGTCTGTATCAGCCCCATGACATTCGTGACATCTGCTTCTGCAATCGCCTCAATTCC